CCCCCCCCCCCCCCCCAAGATCGGAAGGGATCCTCAAGTGGCAGTTTTTGTGAGACATTTCTAGTCAGGCCATAGTGTAGAAATCCCAGCTGAATTGGGGGCTCACGCAAGGCCAGTCCTTTTTGCCCCTCCCCCAATTTTTTCGTGAAAGGATTTGTTTACTAGGATATAGTACAGTTATCAGAAATGCTCAGAAAACGGTTTTCTGTTTCCCACAACTAATGCTTGGTTGTTAGACACCAAAATTGTTACTAACAGCAGTGGTCAAATTCACACATTATTTGCTTGCAGGTCAAGCTGAAGAGATTTTATCATAACTGGTGATCACTTGTCAGGTGCAGAATAACAACCTAAAAATCTCTGAATGCACTTAGGTGTTTATCTTAAGGTATTTCAGCTTTACGTAACAATACTTACGCTAACACAAGCGTTTACGTACATACATATATATTGTTGATTCTTACACTCGAGAATTTTCTACAACTTTGGAGAATATGCGGAAGTTTCGCAATACATATTTAACACTATAAGCTATGTATGTTTTTAGATATAAATTTAATCTAAATAAACGTCGACAGTAAAATAAATATATAATAATAAACCCGTCACAAATGAAACACCACACATCAATGCAGTTTATAAAATGAAATCGGTATTGCGTCACAGTGTACCTACTTTCTTATTGAGTTATTATCTCTATATTAGGCATGATAAGGCATGAAGTAATTTAGCGTCAAAGTCCTTGAAATATATTATAAGTTTACTTTGAATAAATAAATAAACATACATGCTCATGCACGTTGCTTTGTGAGCAGTGAATATTGTGCTGCCATCTATTGATGCGGTATAAAGGATTTCCTTCTCTGTTCGGGTAATTATTATATTTTATTTTGATGAAAGTGTTATTTGCGATTTTTTTTTTATTTTCAGGTCTAGATTTTTCTTAGATTTTGAAGATTGCTTTTTTTATGTGGTCGTTATTCTTTTTTTTTTTGTTAATTAGTTCCAGACAGGTCAGCGATTTGTGGATTCTCAACGGCAAAATTCGTGGCTCGATTCGCTGCGACGAGAAGAGGGCAAATAGTTCATTGTATAGCGTTGCTCTAAAACAAAACTTACAATATAAATATTGAGAAAAAAATGTCTGAATTAGGTGCAGAATTCTACTTTTTCTTTGCATTTTTAAGAAGCATGTATTACTAAAGTGATAATCTAAATAAATGTAGAGGTTTGAAATAATATTTAACCCTGATAAATTCTCTGCTCCTAATTTGCCAGGCATGGCCAGGTGGTTAGGGCACTCGACTCGCAATCTGAGGGTCGCGGGTTCGAATCTCCGTCCCACCAAATATGCTCGCCCTTTCAGCCGTGGGGGCGTTATAATGTTGCTGTCAATCTCACTATTCGTTGGTAAAAGAGTAGCCCAAGAATCGGCGGTGGGTGGTGATGACTAGCTGCCTTCCCTCTAGTCTTACACTGCTAAATTAGGGACGGCTAGCGCAGATAGCCCTCGTGTAGCTTTGCGCGAAATTCAAAACAAACAAACAAAAACTGCTCCTAATTTATAATTTTTAACCAAATGAAGAACCACCAGCCAAAAAAATCCACCGCCGACAAGACTACCGATTAGCATTTATAAGAATTTACGAGTGAAAGTAAAAAAAGGTCTTCCCCTAATACCAGGATTCACTAGGCTGGCTAGGATACGATAGATATAGCAGTGATCGCGACACTATTTATATCAGTTACTTAAATAACAAATATTTCGGTATAAATTAGGTTACGTTGGTGAACTGTAAATTTTAACTATTTTATTTAAGTCATTACAAGTCGGAATTAAGCTTTTCAATTATATTAGCACTAATTAACAGCACACACATGGAACCAATAAATTTAAATAAGTTTGATTGAAGTTATGCACAAAGCTACACAATGGGCTATCTGTGCTCTGCCCACCACGAGTATCGAAACTCTAAAGTTGTAAGTCCGCAGACATACCGTTGTGCCACTGGGGGCAAATTTAAATAAAACAGTTTAATAATTTTTAAAACAATATATGAAATAAATAAAGCACAAAGTGTTCAAAATAATTGGTTTTCTGCAGATGTTAAGTTATTGTTTTCTAAATAAATGCCGAAATATAGAAATATGTAGACTCATTTTCATACAGATTTTAGTCCATTAATTTATCAATTAAAATTTTACGGACAACGCATTAAACTACAAAACAAAACGCGAAGTTATGGTATGGAAAAAAGTTATGTACAGCACTTCTTGTGCGTGTAGGCTAAACAAACAGGTCAGAGACTTCTAAGTTTAAGGCATAGTTATCCCTAATTTCGAACTACTGATCATAGGGATGGCAGCCAGCCAACAGTATCCGCCGCTTTGTTTGACCTTTTTAACTGAATAGTGGAAATGGCTGTCACTTTTACGTCGCGTCCTTGGGTAAAAGTGCGGAGAATGTTATATAGTTTGTGTCTCGACTCCTGGACCTTTCGATCTACAGCCTGACACCATAACCGCTGTCTGCAACCGCTCATGAATAAGTATATAGACTAGTTTCGGCCACAAGCGATGACAGGCAGAGTTGTTGTTATCGTCAATATTTCTCCCTGTAGCGAATACAATAACGTTTATGACCATGTTTAATATAACTAGTTTCACAGGAAAGACAACATACGTTAATACACAAAGGAACGAAGAGAAGCAGAATTGTGAAGTATTTCATATTTATCACTACACCACGTTACATGACGATTTTTCTGTTAAGATAATATGTTAACCGATTCTTCATTATTTTCTAATTACAATAACAAGAACCAATGATTTATTATAACAATCAATCTTAACTGATACAATTAAAGAGGCATCAAGAGCTCGAAATGACTCTCAACTACAATGTTTGTTTGTTTGTTTTTGGAATAACGCACAAAGCTGCTCAAGGGCTATCTGCGCTAGCCGTCCATAATTTAGAAGTGATAGATTAGAGGGCAGGCAGCTAGTCAACACCACATACCGCCAACTCTTCGGCTACCCTTTACCAACGAAAGGTAGGAGTCTGATCGGTGACGAGATTCGAAATCACAACTCTCAGATTGCGATTCAAGTGCTCTTATAAAGGTTGTGTATTTTCATTCTTTATTTATTTGGTCAATGGTGACTTGATCTGACTTTTAATTGCTACTTTTATGATTTCTTACTAGGAATAAAACGTTTTTGAACTTTTTAATAAACTTTTTACGTAAATACAACAACTAGAAATTAGATGTATATATATAATCAGGACGCTAAACTATACTGCTTACAACTTAGTTATCACATTTAGTGAATGACTCCCCCCTAAAAAAAAGATATTATTCAGCCTTTGTATTTTGTTTTTTAAACATAAATAAAGGCAGTCCTATCAAACTTTACCAATAATTTCCAGTGCCGTTTTAATAGTATCAATCGCTATGCTAAGCTCTTCTCGTCTTTTAACGTCTTCATCACGAATTGACATCAAAGTTTTCTGTTTAAAATGAAAAACAACAAAGAAAATCAACAAAAATCTATGGAAATAAAAATTCATCTTAAGAATTGAGATACAAAACGTTAAAAAGTAGTTTTTGTTTACATACTCTAGAATATAGCGTCTCCCAAATTGTGGGTCACGACCCCTAAGGGGCTCATAGCTGGTCTTGATAGAAATCACGATCATATTAATTAATTTCTATTTTTACATTAAACAGAAAAACGTTCATAAATTCCAATAAAGATTTAGGAGTTGCATTGCTTTAGTTAACTGATGTTATAAATATAACATAATATAGCTATGGGAGGATAAATAAATTTGAGAAACCCTGTTCTAGAGTGCACATCTAAGTGTCACGTGATTTATTCAACCTTAGATCTTGCAGAGCTTTCACAATAGCTCCGGAGTTTTTTATACCCAGAAAGTGAACCACATTTATTAAATCTATTAGCGAATGTACCTGGCATCTTTCGGGTTATTAGGTTGATATATTCCAGATGACTATGTCAATGCGTGTATCTGACACTATTTTAGCATCATGCAGGTGGACAGAGTCTTCAACTCTGAATTTCTTTTGGTTTATGCGAATGTATCGTATCCTTTCTGTTTCAATTTTGGCATACATAACGATTTGCCCATTACGATTTTAGTGATGGAGGTGCAAAGGGGCCGTGAAACCTTGTAAACGTAGTGAATATTGGTATGATTTAAAGGATTTAATAAATAAGCCTAAAGTAAAGACACGGTGTGAGATAACCTAACCTAGAGCCAAGTACATAAAATTTATCATGTAAGTAAAAATATCGATCCAATTTTAAACTTAAATCGTTTCTAAATTAAGGTATGTTCTGTTATATCACCAACATGTTAAATAAAAAACAAAACTTTTTAATCAACGGGGACTCTAAATTAAGAATCAACAAATATAATTCCAGTTTTGTTGTTCATAGATTTCATTTTATACTCTCAGTACCTAGACTAACAATAATATTAGGTTATACTTTTGTTGCTAAGCAACATGACATAAAAACCATTGTTGGAACACATTGTTACCAAAACGCACTGGCTTTTCTATATATATTGGAAGTTGTTAATCTAACTGATATACAACAGGGTACACTATGGGGTGGTAGTACTTGCCTCGTCATTTCTGACGGGCTATACGTCTATGATAACGGAGCGTATCTGTATGTCTGTTATATCTATTTGTAATATAAGGAACCACTTTTTTTCTTTGTGGTTTTACGTTAGCTTGCTTCATTAAAAAGATGCGCACGCACATGCGTGAACGCATGTGGATAAGATGAAATAAAACCAAGGTGCACACCTTCAGGGTCTACTTAGTATGAGTGCAAAATTTCAGGTTTCTAGGTTCTTTCCTCTTGGAGCTATGGCGGTCACACACAGACAGACACGCCCTATTATTATTATAGATAGCTGGTTAAAGCTTTTCGTTTGGTTATTTTAAAAATAAAAACGGAGCAACAATAGTTGGTACAAAATTTCTTCGTACAAGACAGCGAAATTAACATAAGTTATTAAAAGTCTTCGGGTTTTCGTGTATATTAACCAAGACACTAACTAATATAGTTAGAGTTGTGAAAAAATGTGAAACGTTTTAAGGAAAGTGATTAGGCAGTAACAGGCTCTAACTGATGGCTAATTCAAGCTGTGTCGTAGAGGACTTATAGAAAGTAAGCTTCTCATGTCACATGCTGTGATTAGGGTTTGATTCGTAGAAATTACTGTCATGTATCTGATGGAACAGAACGTTGTTACAAGTAACCAAAGGACTTTTCTAAACGTGCGATTCGTATATTTTAGGCGCTAAATCCTAATGGTTAAATCACGAAATTAGTCTTCGGAAAGTCAAGAAAATCAGCTAGAGAGCAAACTGTGAAGGTCATTCCTCTTGTTTTTTACAGATAATTTGACTGGAATGAAGGTGACATTATTTTCTGTCCAAGTTTCTAATCTTCCTCCTTTGTGTTGACCGTGTTGGGCGAAGTGCATTGCATAGTGCCCATTCAATCCTTATTTAATCTTCAAGGTATTGAATTTGCGAGTGAAGTTACTACTGCTACTAAGCATTTTCTGGATGAAGTAATTCACGTCTGCCATTACGGATATGCTTAGTGTTGAGTATCATCAACCATGACCTCGCCATTTATATATATATATATATATATTTATTTCACATAAGTAGTTTCGCGGGATCAAGTCTTTCGGCGTGGATTTGAAGCTCACCACAAACCAATGTGTGCATCAGCGGAGTATCCAATACTACAGAGTGCGCGTAGGGGGAGGGGGTCCAGAAAAATGTGAACCTTTTCTTCCAAACAAATAATTTAAGTGACTTACACGAAAGTCAAATGTTTATTAACCCTATCTCTGTTCTGTGCATCGCATGTGATTCATAGAACATGATGCTAAAGTACCTGAGTATCATATGTGATACCAGCTATATTCATTTCATATGCAGCTGATGCTTATGAACGTGGAAATAGAAACTGGTTGTTTTGGTTCAATGTATAAGATTAAAAGAGAGCGTCACATGACCATCACATGTGACGCTCTCAACGCATGTGAATGATGATAGGTTAAGTTACTTTCACTCAAGAGAAAATGTTAAATTAAATCTTTAATTCCAAAAGCTCTCTACTCTACTCTCTTTCAATAACACTAGAAGGATATGCTTCACTCAAACATACTTGGGTAAGTAGTCAAATAAGCGTATCCGTAAAAACAACAACACCAAATGACCTGAAACAGGGAAAAGATTGCAAAAAAAAAAACAGAAAAAAATAGCTATTCTAGGTTTTTTTAGATATTGGGTGGTCGTTTGCTTCCCTCCTCTCCAAATACGCTTATTTGCGTATGCACAAAAGCCCCTGAGGTATCGGGGACTAACTCGTTAGTATTAAGTAAAAGTCTCTTTAGAACCAAGATAGAAATAAAGTAATATAAAACTGAGCAAACTGGGTACTATCATTTATCATAGAATAATCTTAGCTTAATGTTTCATAGCTTGATAACAATATGGATGTATATATATATTTATATACATATATTTAGGAAAGCGAAAAAAAATCCCCATCAAAATTACATTTAATTATATATGGATATATTTCTTAATACTTACAATAGCACAATCAGCTACAAGCTCTCCTGTAAGTTCCTTTGTTGCATATGTCATAGTCTGTAAGGGAATTAGGCATATATATCAATCTGGTATCAACAAATAATTAATAAACATTGCAAAATTTTCCCTGTAATACATAAAATAATGAGGTTGATTGTATTACTTTCGTTAATCTTTCAATTAGCGTTATGATTTGTATACCATTTTCATTATGTTTTTACCCGGTAATGTAATAGATTTACAGTTTTTAATAATGTTTTACCTAACGGCGTACAGGATATGCTTTTTATCATCTTTTTATCTACCGATATGACGTATGTACCATTTTTGTCAAATAGGTACCTAGCGGGTGTATTTGTTATATATATTATAAAAATTTTACTTATCGGTATCATGGCTATATTGTTTTTATCAATTCATTGTAGCAATGTGATGGATTTACAACTTGTTATAAGGTCTTCATCTGGATACGCCGTGAACATGAATATCTTAAGGTTTACTTAAAGGACGTAGAGGATTTACTAACTGTATAGAATATTCACCTAGTCGTGCGACAGACAATTTGATTATCCAGTCTCAACATGGTTCTTTGCTGGGTATATTATACTTTACTTGATAAAAAAAAATATTTATAATTATTATATTTCAAAGTTTTCCCATAAGAATCTTTCAAGTATTTCCCACGTTCTTAATATTTTTTATGAAATGATAGAACAGAACGGCTTATGATATATGGTATCTTAAAGTAGCATCAACGACATATCGACTGGCTAGAAATGATGAACAGATTAACCACCTACACAGTGACTCAGCGCTAGCTTGAAGACTTATAACGCTATAATTCGGAGTTTGAGCCTTCGGTTGAGCTCAGTGCAGATATCCAAGTGCGCAGTTTTGCGCTTGTAAAATTGAACACATTAATTTCTGAATAGAAGCCACGAATATATAAAGTGATGATACGATGTTACGAGCATATTAGTTCAGAGTCGACACTTCACTATCAGTAAAAACAGAGCTATTTAACTTGTTAAAAAAAAATTATAGCTCACATTATCTCTATATAACGGTAATTCGACACATTTCTATTTATTTTATGTGCTGACTGAAGTTTCCTAAAGTACACTGGTAAAACCAAGCCACAGTAATCCAAGAGTAAAACCTTTCTTTAACAAATAGCGTTAAGATAAAATAAAATACGTACATTTTTTACAAGGAACAACATGATGTATTTCGGAACTAAGTCTTGGATCGTCTTGGCTACTACTTTCATGTAAGATTCAATCATAGCTACTAACTGGTCCACTTGGCTCTGTATGTTTGGATCGTTGAGTAACTGAAAATAATTCGGAAGTATTTTAAAACTCTCTTTTTTTCTTTGTTTAAAGGTAACAACGAGCGTAAACTTTGCGAAAAGAAGCAAAAAAATTTCAAACCAGTCTTGAAATTCGTAAAATAATGCAAAACATTTACACATTAACCGCTGAAAAAATTATATTGAGTTAATTTAGATAATAAGATAAAGTCATATTTGAAATAGCCTTGTAGGTAAGACATCTTTAGTTTTATTTAACTATCTCATATTAGATAATACCATTAACTTAAAGAAAAGGTAGCGACCGAATATAAAGCTAATAGTAGAACGTGCCTCTGAATGATGGAAATATAACTTTGATTCTGTAATTTCAATAGTTTTAGTTGATGTTGTATTTCCCAACATAGTGTGGTGTTAGTTTACTGACTCTACTATAACAATAACCCTTTCTCGTTAGTGTAACATTGAAATATAACCTCCAAACCCGCATTTGAAGGTTATCGGTGTCGGTTATCATTCTTTGGCCGCCTCAGACATGTTAAGTTGATCATAAGGTAAGATGTATTGGTTTTGTTAGTTGGTTGTTTAGGTTTAGTTTCAGTTTCGAAATAGCAGGACTACCTTGTTCCTTAGCACCCTTTCGTCTTTTGCCGAGTCTATTATTTTAGTGTTCGATGTTTGGGTTTTCGCTACAGTCTTTATGTAGATAACTGTGAATTTCTAAGTCGTTAAAAATGCTGTTTTGCGCATGCTCCTTAATTATGGTAGCTAGAGTTGCCTGTCGTTGATCCAATGTTGCCATGTCTACATGCTTTAGACACATGTATTGGTACCCTACAAGCGACCTTTCTGAAGGAGGTCTTTTATCTTTGAAAAGGAAAATCACTTTTAGGCTAACTTGTGGATCAGCTGACTGTAAAATGCGCTTGAATTTTCCTTTTAGTTTGATGTGATGAGAACTAGTGAAGGATAACACCAGGGTGATAAGACATTTAAGAACGTTAAAGTTTGGAACCTTGGGAGTGTAAACTTTATTAAAATATTCAGAAATTGATGAATGCTAGAGGGAAGACATTTTAAATTAAGTATTTTTTTTTGTATTGATTATTTCATCATAAAAATTACAGTAAGAGTTATTAAGTTCAAAAGCTCAATGAATTAGAATATTTATTAGATTAATTGTGTAGTAAGAAGGTATAAATGTACAGACCAGAAAATGTTAGTTTGTGATGATAACTAGTTTCGAACCTGTTGATTCAGCAAAAGATTAAGGAACGCTAAGAAAAAGAAAAAACATGTTAATTTAGCAATAAAACAAAGCTAAACGATCAGTTAATAACACCACTGCGTCTTAAACTATGATCAATTTAATGATTACAGTAGTCTACACTGATAATCTTCAAAATGCTTATATATACCTACAATATGTTTCAAAACGTTACATGTTATGAAATCTGTTCACGGGCGCAACTACCTATCTTTGTGGTCGACTTATGCCCTCTTGGAAGCCACACAATAGTTAACATCACCGGTTAAGACCCCCCCCCCCCACCACACACACCCATGTAACTTGGCTCCACTGATCCCATGTGGTTTAGTTACAGCTCGGAATACTATTTTTTTTTCTTGTAACTGAAAATTAATTCTATGTAACTTCATTTGTTACATAAATGTTTCAGTTAATATTTTAAAATATTAGGCATTTATCGAGATATAGTAGTAGATAAGGAGTAGTCGATAATATAAAGTATACTTGTATGTCGGCTAAAACGACCAGGAGAACCCTAGGATATAGGTTCAAACAGGATAGTGGTACTGACTGTCACTTTTATAACGCACTTATGACTGAAAGTACAGAGCATGTTTAGTGGCAACACGTCTCGAACCCTCGACCCTTCGATTCACAACCTGTCATGCTAAATACTAGGCCACATTCGGCCTGAAATGTACTAAAACAAGAAAAATCACTAGCGTGAAACAAGATAGATTATGACGAAATAAAAAGTGGCTTTGGCCATGTTAATACTTATTAATAAAAACTGAATAACAATAATTTTAGTAATGTGCTTTTAATGACTTAAAATATGTCACATTTTAAACTGTTATTGTAGAAAACAAAGACAACTAAAATTAACAATTTTATCAAGCACGAGTTTTAACATTCAAAATCTTAAAAACATATAAAAGATATGTGTTTATATCCTGCCGTACTGTTTTTATAAATAGTGACAGTCGTCACTTTATTCTTGTCTAAACAGCTTGCATTTCTTAATATGCTAGTTTCGAAGACAAACCTGGTAGCTGGCACATTAATGATAAGGAAAACTGGCATCTAATACACTAACATACTTATATCCTGGTAAATGTTAGACTCATGAACTAATAATTAACTTATACCTTAATAACTGAAACATTTCATGATACAAAATCAGGTACATGTTACAAACTTATGCCCTGGTAATTTTACGCTCATAGTAAAATATAAATAATAGGCCCCGATACACAGAATGCATTTACCATGATAACTATAGCATTCGTAATAAAAAACTGGTGCCTGTCAAATAAGCTAATATCTTGGTAGCATTTACACTAAGAATACAAAAACAATATCCTGTTTCTCGATACCTCAAATAATTTTATCTTGATAACTAAGACGCAAGTGAATGCAAAAAAACAAACAAAAAACAAGAAAAAAACTGCTTACACTCACGATATAGATTAGTTATTGAGTAAATCCTGAGTACTAACAGAGAAGGTAGCGTATGATAGGACAAACATGTACGAGTTATTCTGGTCTGTATAAGTTGTTTTATGCATTTTAGTCAAACATACATACACATCTGTTTTGTATACAACGGTGTGCTTTTGGCATAATCTTTTTCGAAACAGATCAACGCTTTGTTCAGACAGTTTCTCTGTAATTGGTGTAGAGTCATGCCTCGTCACGTGCCAGAAGTTATAGAGCATCAAATTGTTAATAAACTGTCCATAAATGGTACGAAGCAAACGGAAATTGCCAGAAAAGTAGTGTACTTCCAGTGTACTGTATCCAGAATCCTGAAACGTCATCGGACTACAGGGAACGTTGTTTCAGGAAAATCTGCTGGAAGACGACGACGGACCATCCTAATACCGAATGTTTAACATGAACTGATACATAGTAACTTCATTGATACATTTAACTTCATTGGTTCACATCGAACATTATTTATAATAATTTGATGTTATATTTTGTCATTACATAAGTTTGGGTAAGGTTTTATTGTGCCTATAATGATATATATATTTATTGCACAGACGTAATTTAGGAATTATTGAAACTGTGTTATCTAGAAGATTCATGAATGGTTGAGTAACATCCATTAGTTGCTTCTTTTGTTCATAGCATATCATAGTAAATCGTTGCAGTTATAATGTCAACAAAGTTAGTTGCTGATATGATTGCAGGCTATTACAATGATACCATATAGAAATCATATTGATTTTTAATGCACAGTGTGACGGATTTATTATTATATATTTATTTTAATATCAACGTTTGTTTAGCTTATAGTGTTAAATATGTATTGCGAAACTCCCGCCTATTCTCTAAAGTTGAAGAAGATTCTCGAGTGTAAGAATCAACAATATGTTTGTATGTAAGCGTCAGTATTGTTACGTAATCTGAATTATCGAGACACTCTCCACACGCCTATAAATATAACCAACGCAACGCGCCAAAAAAGAAAATATCTATTATTGGCTTACTATAGTTGGTGTGCTATAAACTTCGGAGGCTATAATTGCAATTGTTATAACGCTAATTAATCGGGAAACTTAAGATATTTGACCAGGAACGTTTTTAAATTTCGAACATAACAAACCATTTAACTTCATTGGTTCACATCGAACACTAATACTTTTACGAAAACTTACCAAACTCTCTTTATCTGCTCTATTTGTTATATCAACTTTGTTGTCTACTTTCTGTTCACTTTTAGCACTCTTCGTATTTGGTTTCGACCGAGTTCTGTATACATCAATTAAAGGTAGACCATAAGCATTAGGAATTGTGAAGGCATTAGTAATTTAAAAGAAATTTTCAAAATTAAAAAAGAAAATTGCCGTATCATTAAAACACAAAGCCAGGACCAGAGATTTTTGTTATTTCCAAACCTACATAACAGTATTTTGTTACCTTTAAAACAATATTAAATTAGAAATAATTATTAAAACTAATTTACACTGAAGTCTGTACAATTTTTACAATTAAAAGTCTACAAGATGCCATATTATTATTATTACTACTGCCAGATAGTTCGTTATTGCTTCTATCCTAGATTGAATTTAGAATAAAATTTAAAAGAAAAATAACTCACTCTATACGTCATCAAAATCCAAGCATTATTAATCCCGGTTAGCAGTATTTGAAACAATTTTATTTGCAGCCTTGGAAATAATTATGGAATGAGCAAATAAATTGGTTATAAACTATAAATATTATGGGATTGCTTTCCCTATATTATATGAAGATTATCTTCCCTAGAGTAAAGTCACTGTTGATCACCCATCTAGTCAATCAGCGCCAAACAACAAACAAGTGAGGCTGAATTGTTTGGGTGAAGGATTCCCCCCCCCCCAAGAACGTTCAGGGACAAGAATCCCTTATCATTCACCATAGAAATGACAGAAAAACTAGGGTTTGAAATTTGAAATATATGAGGAAGGAGGAGTAACGGAAACTATTGGTAAGGTCGTAAGAGGGAGGAGTAACGGAAACTATTGGTAAGGTCGTAAGAGAGAGGAGTAAAGGAAACTACTGGTAAGGTCATAAGAGGGAAGAGTAACGGAAACTATTGGTAAAGTCGTAAGAGGGAAGAGTAACGGAAACCACTGGTAAGGTCATAAGAGGGAAGAGTAACAACATGAGGAAAAAGATGAAGAGTGGTCACTAGGGTTAAAACCATCGTAAGTCTTGGTAGAAGCCCTTTTTCAAGACTTGTAGGGGAGCTTTGGAACTTACATTTTGTTTGATGTTTTTTTTATATGTTTTCTGTTTGAAATGGTTTTCCTTGGGTATGGTCGGCTTTTCTTGTAAGTTTGATACTTGATGCTAACTCACTTTACAGGCAGTGGTGAGTACTTAAATCTGTATATATCCTAGTCTGCAATAACCACTTATGATTGTAGGTATCCCTAGGGGATATCGTTTCAGGATAACACACCGGCATGATGCCTATAAAGTATAAATAAGCATACTATCCCCGACATTAGTGTAGCGAATGCACTCATACCTCTTCATGACAACCGTGTAGAAATCAAAGTTTTGACTGGTGAAAGCTGCTCCAAGTGACAGGTTGAGGCTTAACGTCTTGCTTCAGTGGGGGAGGGGAATCAGGAGGACTGTACTGTTTGGAATTCTGAAGAGGATAGGTGAAACTAGCGCCGTTGATTATAGAAGTGGTCGAAATAGAAAAGCCCTAAATCTTGGAAAGTGAGGTTAAGTAAGCTGATGGTATGTTCTTTAGTTTTTCACGACAATCTAGTAGAGATCTTTCATGTTAATGTTACCTACAAAACTGTAAGATACACATTAGAGTTAACTAGCTTCACTTAACTGCCTTCACTGGACGTGTAAGCTGTTAAAAATCACTGTTTAACAAAGGTAATTAACCTACAAGACTTAAATAAGTATTAGAATTCAAACAATGGGATAATAAAAAAGCCAGTGAACGGCACTCTATAGAGATTAATTCAAATTACTTGTCCATAAACAACAATAGTTATATGATGGCACAGAGAAGTGCAATATCACAGTAAATGTACAACATTTACAGTAAAGCAAGCTGAGGGCCCAAAAAGATGAGGGATGTATCTCAGTCAATGGCACTCTGAATATTGGCAGGTACAAGCAGATTTTCATTCCGTCAGGAACAAGACTTGTTGTGCAGGGATTCATCTTTCAGTTATACAGAAACCCTAAGCATGCAGCAATTGTTATGAAATGATGCCCTGTGGAAAAAAGAGGCTGACACTCGCAACCATGGCTTAGCCGTCACAAAGTCATGAGACGAATAATATTAAGGCTGTATGGACTTATATGGAAACCGAAAACGTCAAAAGCGGCCAAATAACGTAGTTAAATTCTGGGGAATACAACTGAGCACTTGCTTGTTTGTTTGTTGTTAAGCATAAAGCCACACAATGGGCTATCTGCGCTGCTCATGCACCACGGGTATTGAAACCAGGTTTTGAGCGGTATAAGCCTCCAGACTTGCCACTGCGGGCTAAATCATTTGGAAAAGTATTTCATAATCATTCTTTGATAAACTTATAGTAGCAAGAAAAACAAAGCGGACAAAACAATAGTTAATTGTAAATCTTGTTCTATTTTTTCCTATATTCAGTAATAATGTATTGCCCTAATGGTATTTTGATAATGTATATATAATTACTCACTTTTGTGATTCTTGTATGTGTATCTCCTTTGCAAATCCATAATTATTTTCGATGTTGTCTATATATGTCTGTGTGGGCGTGTGTGTATTTGAAATTCTAACTGTTTTAAAAAAAAAACTTTGGAAATTATTACTATTACATATAGTTTTAAGTATTATTCAAAATATCTTATGTTATTTCGCATATAATTACATTAAAATGCATTTTGAAAATCGACCATGACGAAGTAGTTAAGTATTCACGCTTACAATGTTAAATAACATACATTAATAACGAAATAAGGAATACTGATGTACCAAATATAAACAAACGGAATGTCTGGATCAACTAAATAAATTAACAATATATGAGCGTTACGTTTAAGGTAAATATGTTAAAATTTGGTATTTCACTAAAATTGACATCAGACAGGCCATTTTAAAATATTATTTAGTGCCGTCTAAAACCATTAACTGAGATGGGATTATATAGGCTATATTATTAGTTTAAACAACGATCTTCAGACTGTTTAAATATTATTAAGTTTTATTGTTTATAAGTGTAAGTTTTTTTCTTGTGAAAGCTTATAAGCGAAAATGGTTGAACTATTAAGAAATTTGGAGAGACTAAAACAAAATGGAATGGTTAGACGTAGGTGTAAAGTATATATATATAGTCTATTTCAAAATAATATAAAACAGAGAAATGTGCTTATTGGTTTTTGATCAGATCCATTCCATAGAAAAAGAGGACCATTACTAGTCTGTTCCTATTGCTACAGCTTTTCTAGTTTTCTTTGTGTAAAGCTGCACCATGAGCTACCTGCACGCTGTCTACTGCTAGGAATTGAACCCCGGATTTTAGCTTTGTAAACATACCTCTATTCTACCGAGGAGGACACAACTTTTTCTATTTGGACTGCATATTGAAAGGTATATAAAACACTTGAATGAGGTAATAAATTTTTCATACTGACTTCCAAAGCTTATTTTGTAAAACCAAAATATTGAGAATTACATCGTAATATAATTTGATACTATTCTTTATCTTCAAAGGAAACTTACCCGTTTCTATTAAAGTCTGGATGTCGCAGGTTAAAGAATGACATTTCTGAATCAATGTGGCTTTGCAACTTTTCCTGTGGAGTAAAACATATAATAAGATACATTGGCAAACTGCTACTATTACAAAGTTTCAAAATAACCATGTTAATAAACCATGCTTGTACGACTTACACTGAATCACCAAAAGTAGTTGGGTTTTAGAAATGCCTGTTTTAAACTTTTACTTCAAATGCGGAACGTTACACCAAATATTTGATTGAAGAAGTAATTTATGGTATAAATGATTTTAAAAGCGAAATTATTTTAATGCACTCACACTAGCTGTTTGTTAATAAGTGTGCTTAACTGAAGCAGTTTCAAGTTTAAAATTTTTATAATCGTAAATATAATTTTACAGTTACGTCCAATTTATTTGACACATTTTTGATGGATTACTTAATCACTTAGAAACCTGCTTTATTCAAATAACTTTAAAACAATAGTTGTACATTTTCTTGAGTTCAAGAAAGCTTATCAAACCATGAATTTGTGGTTAATATTTATCACATAACTACCTTGGTCACCTCTTGCTGTTTTTGAAGATGAGTGTTCAGTCGGAAAATCACTTCGTCATGAAGTTTTGGATAATGTTTGAGCTAATAGAGAGCATGAAAATATGACACAAGTTAAACATACAAACGTTTCGATCAATACTAAAATTATAACTTATCTCAAGTTCAAAAATCAACTGAACAGTTTTCATGTTACGTTATGTTAAAAAACGTAGTTGGTGTACAAAAACCAGTGTTATCATAATTGGTATTAATGTCAACAGCTATCAATATAAAGATAGCTTAATAACACAGGGATTCCAACAATATCAAAGTATATTGTCTCTTGAGCACATTTATCAAAGTTTTCATAATGTTTGTGATAATGTTTACAGCTGCCACTATAGGGAGAACTTAATATATGAGAAATTCCAACAATATCCAAAACATTACCTCAACAGCACAGTTATCAATCAGATTTGCCATGATGTTGGTAATAATGTCAACAGCTGTCACAATAGGGACTTTGTACTTCTCAATTAATCTTGTAGTAACAGCATCAAACGCTAGTCCTGGAGTGAACAATGGTGTTCTATGCAAAAATGGAAATAGGTATGTATATGTATATATATAGGAAATAGGTATAGTTTATATAGTTATATAGTATTTCTTTGCCATGGTATTAGAACAAGAGGATATAAAACATTAACGCCATCTTGCTTATTTTTCAAAATGTCATTGAAGACTAGGCCTAATAAAGACAATTTCTTTATAGAATCTGTTTACATGCTATTTTACAGAGGAAAGACAGAAATTCTTGGAAATTCAAACGATAAAGAAATTGCATAAATGTGAGACCTTGGAAGATATTGTAAATAAATATTATAAACAATATCTTTGGTTAAATAATTCAACTCCTAGAATGTAAGACATCTCGTCTACAGGTAATAGTGACAATATAGCATAATATTTTAGTGATATTCTTAATATGATTGATATATTTGTTATTTTCAAAATTATCAAAGTAATATGTTTCGTTAAGTATCAAAAGATTCACAAATTTTAATGATATCCTAGTATTTTAATGATAATTGTGGAATACGGTTCAGAACTTTTGAGAACTTGAGATAGTAACTGTTAATCTAGTTTGCTTGGCTTAACCAATACTTATGTATCTTCACGTGCTTTCACCCTATAGTTTTGCTGCTCTAAATCAGTCGTATGGTAAAATAGACAAAAAAAAACTAAAAAAAAAAAAATCTACCTTTACTTTTAGTTGAAGCTGTAGTAAAAATTTCAGACCGATAGCTCACGCGATTTTTGGTGTGCACAAACATTTTGATCAAAATTGAGCGGTTTTTGTTGAACAACACTGCACATGTGGCTTATATTTAGACCAAATTTGACATCTAATTGTAGGTCATAAAGATCTACCAGTGTACCAAATTTGACAAACATCCATAAAAGTTAAGTATGTTTTTCTATCAAATAAAATTTCCGTACTTTCTGGGCTAAGAAAAAAGGAAGAAATCGAATGAAAACTGAAGATTTTATATCTCGTGTATTTCTTAATGGATTGTCTTGAAATTTGGTATGCGAAGTAAGAGTCCACTAGAGCACATTCACGGAAAATATGTGATAGTTTGAATAATCAGAGTCTGAAGTATATAAAGTGGAAAATTGTTAAACTATAACTCCTGTTAATAACACAATGTGTCCTGCAGATTGTTTTGAACGCACGACACACTATTGTGTGTCTTGATAAATTTATAAAGGGTATCGAACTTAGAACTGCTATTAGAATATTAATTTGAATGAGAACTAAGGTATGTACACAGAGTAAATCGTCTAACGTAGATCTTATGAGTTTGGTATTTAATGTTATTTAATCACTATTCTTGTTGTTGTAACTATAATTTTTAACTATAGATTATGTTTCATTGTTTCAAAGTTTTTGATATGAATTTATATTTATTAATTCCTGAATCTTGTTAAAAACTTTACACAAACACACATACACATACCTACATATGTGTATTTGTAATGTAAATAAATTTTTGTGAGTAGGCTTATTTTCAATAGAAGTTTCGATTATACTCGAGTTGGTTTTATATCTTTTTATTAAAAAAACTACAACGAAGAGTAAAAACTCAGTACAGTTTATTTGTATTTGTAAGGAGTGAGAAGAAGACGAATTATTTATTATTTTAACAATTATTTATGGTTTAAATACTCCGGTCTTCTGTAATGAATAAATTTATCTCGATCTTGCCAGTTTTATTCTCACACTTTGAAAATCTAACAGTTAGGAGCTTCACCACGACAGAATTTGTTAACATTTAAATTTTAATTAATATGATTTAAATTACACACTTCTTATTTTTTCTTACCTATAGGCGTGAATATTCTTGATAACAAAAACCAAATCTTTGTCGCATGGCACCAACTCCTACGAAGATAATTCCAAAGCAGCTGGTTAAAGGATTACAATCGCTACAAAGCAGTTAGTTAAAGCATTACAATCGCTACAAAGCAGTTAGTTAAAGCATTACAATCGCTACAACGCAGTTTCCTATATTACTAAAATCTTGTATCTTACAAATACATTTGACATCGATATTTTAAAACGTACAACAATAATTATAAAAACAAATATGCTTAAACATAATAAAAAATATAATAATGGTAAGCTCGTAAATATACTTGTTTAGAATTTTTAGTAATACATAATAACATCATTAGAACATAATGTATAATAACATCATTAAACCATAATGTATAATAACATCATTAAACATAATGTATAATAACATCATTAAACCATAATGTATAATAACATCATTAAACATAATGTATAATAACATCATTAAACTATAATGTATAATAACATCATTAAAACATAATGTATAATAACATCATTAAAACATAATGTATAATAACATCATTAAAACATAATGTATAATAACATCATTAAAATATAATGTATAATAACATCATTAAAATATAATGTATAATAACATCATTAATATATAATATATTACGTTCTGGCAGTTAAATTTTCCAAATGAACAGAATAAATTCTCTATGAACAGAACAATTAGATATTACAAAAGAAACTACTGATAAGCTAAAAACACCATAAAGTTAACAATGATTTATTTAAAATGGCATGAGGATCGTTGGGCAACTCAACATATTTAGCGATATTCTACGCTGCTATCGTGAACTGTGTAAGTGTATAATTGTCTAACGAGTCTGTACTGATTTTAATAAGTTATTGTGCACTTTCTAACGTTGTAGTGTTTTTACTTCTTGTATCTTATCTAAAAGTACCGTCTTTTTCCAAATATAAAACTGTCTTTATTTAAATAATATAATGTCCCCCGGTGGGACACCGGTAAGTCTGTGGATTCCCCTCTGTGCACACAGCAGATAGCCCGATGTGGCTACACACAAATAATATAATGTCCCCCGGTGGGACATCGGTAAGTCTGTGGATTCCCCTCTGTGCACACAGCAGATAGCCCGATGTGGCTACACACAAATAATATAATGTCCCCCGGTGGGACACCGGTAAGTCTGTGGATTCCCCTCTGTGCACACAGCAGATAGCCCGATGTGGCTACACACAAATAATATAATCTAAATACTAATGAAGTAATTTACAGTCAATTTTTTTTTTCGGAAACAAAAGCAACTATAATTTTTCTAGATATGAAATAACATAATTTTCGAAATTGAAAATATAAACGTTGACATATATCACAAGTTTTAAATGTGTAATGAACCACACTAAATAATAAGAATTATTCACTCATTGATTTAGTAATTTCGCTATTAAAACAAATAAGAAAATTAAGTATTATAATATGTTGCACATACGTTCTTCTAGAGTAGTGTTTTATAACACAGTGTTCGAGGTTTGATTATCCTTAATGTTTTATATTAGCTTTTGAAAGTATAATTTAATTTAATTCAATTGTAAATTTATCAATAAATAAATGTATTCACAGCACAAATGTATAAGGTTGGATATTTATTGTCTTTAATCTTACCATGCTTAATAACTCGGTAACTTCATTGTAAAAAGCATCATTAATCAGTGCTCCTTCGTCAACATTACGATGATTTGCGGTTTCTGTCTGTCCAACAAGCCTTTTCTTAAATTCGTTGGCAAATTCGTAAACTATTCTAATCCAAAAGGAACGATACAGTTATATAAGGATCTATAATTCAAATTGAAATTTATAAGTGGTCGTATTGATTTGTTTATAGATAATTTACTTATCAGTTGTACATTTTGTATGTATATACATCTATATATATATATAACAATTTAATAGTAATGGAAACTTATTAGAGTCTATAATATTTTCAGTAAATTGGTGAAATCAGACGCTAAAGTCCATTATCATTGTAACACGTGAATTTTTAAAATTTATTGTATAAAATTAATTTATGGTCATGAGTTAATAAGGAAATGTACCTTTAATTGATAAAGATATGTCGAACACAAAACTCACTAAATTTATAAAATGAACTGAGAAAAAGCGAAATAAAGAAAAACATTTATAAGGTTCATTCATTATGACGAAACTTCAAACTTAATAAGGCCCGTCATGGCCAGGTGGTTAAGGCGCTCGACTCGTAATCTGAGGGTTGCGGGTTCGAATCCCCGTCACACCAAACATGCTCGCCCTTTCAGCCATGGGGGCGTATTATGTGACAGTCAATCCCACTATTCCTTGGTAAAAGAGTAGCCCAAGAGTTGGCAGTGATGACTAGCTGCCTTCCCTCTAGTCTTACACTGCTAAATTAGGGACGGCTAGCGCAGATAGCCCTCGTGTAGCTTTGCGCTAAATTCAAAAACAAACAAACTTAATAAAAACAAATATCTGAATCATCAGTGAACCCACAGAGTTTATCATCCGCTGTAGGCTTAAAGAACCTAATAGCTAATTAGGCTTATTTTATCATAGAATCCTTAGTACTACATGCACGGTAAACATAAAAATATTGAATGAATCTCTACTAAAACAACAACAAAATACGGAATATTCTCTAACATTTTGGTAAATAGTAAGTTTTTAAATAACGTGAAAATATTTTCAGTGAAAATAGATAATTTTGTAAAATGTATTCCTGAAACTCTGATTCTGATACATTTTTTGCAGTGTTACGGATTTTTTACGGACTTACAACGCTGGAGACCGGGTTTCGATACCCGTGGTGGGCAGAGCACAGATAGCCCATCGTGTAGCTTTATGTGTAATTACAAACAAACAAACATTATTTCAGCCAGATACATGACTAATGCATACAAATATTAGATATGAAATACTCTCTTGAAACGTCTTTTATTTGAAATTTAAAATGCAATAACTCAGACAATGCAATGAAAACATTGATGTTTCATTATGAGGAATAGTCCAAAAATAAACCACAAAGGAAAACTAAGCGTTAACAAATGATGCAATAAATGAAGTTCTTATTTTATATAAAAATAACCTTTACCAGATTATAGAAACAGGTTAAAGGTAACATAAATGATAGTAAAATATTATGTAAATAATGTAGAAATGATTCTGTAATTTGTGCATCAATCCAAAACTTTTCCAGGTTTGTTAATTAAATAGCTATAATGTAAACATGTAAAATTTATGTTGAACAGTATTCTTCTACTATTTTCTCATTTTTATTTCATCGTTTTTCTTTTCACTTTATTTTTATTGTTCTTCCGCTTCGATTTATATTTCTTAATCGTAAAAATCAATATATATATATATTTCACCTTCTATCATATTCTAGTATACACACGTTAATTTCTGAGTTAAGTATTGTTTCCCTATCCCGGTTGTAAGTTTACTGTGACAGCTAACACTACAGGAATATGTGCTATTACTTTTCAAACATATATAAATTACATATTTAGCAATTATGCATATACATTAATTTTCTTAAAGGAAATTAATATTTTTAAAGACAGTTTTTCACTTTATCTATCTATCTTTCTGATAATAATAAGAATGAACTTACGATGTCATGCATTTAATTTTACCAGCGTCGTCAGCTTCACCAATAATATTTTCGAGTTTTTCATATTCTCTTTTCATGTTTATCAGCTGATGCTGTAAGGTTGACCAAACACTGGGAAAACATTCTTGAATGTGAGCTTTAAGCTGTTTATTCAAAGTCTCCTGAAGATATTTTGTTCCCATCTGGTGAGCTAGGTGTCTGGAATTATAGTAAAATATCTTAGTATGGAGGTGTAAAGAAAATATTTATCATATATTTACATTTGAGGAAACCATCTCTGAAATTAAATGCGAAGATGTTATGAAAAACATGCGTTGTTATTTAAATTCAAATAATTCCAGTTTCATATGTCAAAATGAAATCTCTTTAAAATTATTCAAGGAATAATGACATCAGAATTTAAAGAAACTATTAGGAAGATAAATAATTATCTGAAGTTTGATAATAAGTTTATGTTTAAGAGCAATATAATAATGATACTTTAAGAGAATATGTTGATGTTACTAAACAGAAAACATAAGAAGAAGAAAAATAACGGATTACTGATGATTTTACAGATTATATAATTTACTGTTGATATTCTTAAGTTATTAGCTCTTATTTAACCCCTTAGTGGTGCAGCGGTATGTATGCAGACTTACAATGCTAGAATCCGGGTTTCGATACCCATGGTGGTCAGAGCACAGATAGCTCATTGTGTAGCTTTGTGCTTAATTACAAACAAACAAAGCTCTTATTTAATCCCAGAGTATTAGTTTCTCACTGTTACTAAATCCAGATTGTTGTCTTTCAGATAATCCATTTCTAATATTACTTTATCTTCAATAAACTCATACCATTATTATAATTACAGAAGATACCATTTCTTTAGAACATTCACGTCATTATTCCTTCTTCAGTATAGTGAACTCAGTATTACAACGTTATGTTGTTCTCATTATCGAAAGATATTAATATTATCCTTGTTTTTATTCTTGACATTTTGCTTGTAATGTATTTTGAATATACTTATCATATTTTAGGTTGTTTGTTTGCCCGAATTTACTAAATTTTGTTTTGGATAAATATATTACCGTTTATCGATTGATTTAATCCTCCAAATTTATCCCAACACGATTATATAGTTTAAGAAACTTAATTAACATCAACGCAGTCCCCGGATAATAAAAAATTCACACCAGCACTGTCAGGAAAGGATTATGAATTACAAGTACCTACTGACACGTTATATATTAATGTTTTATGAACGTCTTGATATTCTAGATATAAAACACATAAATGTATATATAAATATAATTTTATTTTCTACATTATTCATTATGTATGAGATTGTGTGGTTATGAATCAAAGAAATGTAAAATTAGAAACAAATTCCACGATAAATCATATTTTTGTAGCTTTCATCCAAACTTCTTTGCAAATATTGTAGGGATCGCTAATTTTAGAGAGTTCAGTTTTTAAACTCAATTAATTTTGCGTCTGTATTTTAAATAACATAAATCATCAGTGGAATAAAGCTACAAAGGAAATTATGAAATGTATTATAATTATACTGTAATCACCAAAATGTACCTTGTCTACTTTTAAAAGTAATAATATCTCTAAACTTTAACGATTAATATAATAGATTTGAGATTGTTGTATGGAATATTTAAAATAAATTTAATACTTTTTTAAAACTAAATTTCATCTCTTGATATAATAATTATTAGAATGTTGATAATAGTTTTCACTCATTAATTATATCAACATACATTTCCTAAATATAATTACAGAATATTTTATATTAATTCTTACTTGTAACTTGGATGTTTTTTGAAAAACATATATTCGTCTTGTAATGCTTTCTTAATATCTTTGTTTGTTTCAACGTCTTTCTGACTTCGACTAACGATGCCAATATATCCTAAATGGGAAAAGAGGTTTTTAAATAACCACAAATTATGTAATTAATTTGCTTATAGTATATTTTACATCTAAATGGTTTATATTGTAAACTAAGTAAGTTTAGGTGTAAGAAATGGAAGTTATTTTATCATTTACAACATTAAAAACATCGTCATTAAATAAACAACACCAAATTTAAAATTTTCGATATGCATTTTCTCTAAGTAGAAGCATGTGATAAAGTAAGATAAGAAACCCAAGCATTTATCAACCTTATAAATCCAATATCACAACAACATTCTACACTCAGTTTGACATATTATACAAGTAAATATTTGTATAACTCTCCATTATCAGTAAGAGAATGTAATTAAACTTAAACCTTCAAAACTATCGTCAGTTAAATGCCACACAAAATACCTAGTTCGCAGCAAAAAACTATGGCCTGATATTGTTATCTTAAGTATATATAAAATACTTCGAACATTCACGACGGTTGACTTGAATTCCACTTTTTAGAGAGTTTTACAATTGTCTTTTATTTTCTCCATGTGTGATTGTTTCTTTTATATGATGAAGGGAGAACAAAGCTTGCCGAAGGAAGTGCAAGGGCCGCCGTTTTTTGTTTGTTTTTTTGTTATAAAATTCCAACCCGTCAAGAGTGACGGGTCGGGCAAGACTGGTATAAGATTACTAATATATCTACTAATCTCTTCAGCAATATTTTACTGATTTTTGAAGACATTGCTTGATACGACATAAGGGTAAGAATAACTAATTCTTAGTTTAGTAATGAAATATCGAAAAGTATTTAATTAATAATACATCAGACTTAATCGTATTTGATTTTAGAAATATCGGGTATTCTACAAAGTGGAATGACGTCTTTCTCATTAATATACACTATGTACTTTTAAGTTGTCTAATTTGTGAATTTTTAAAATTATCATTATACCTGAAAACTTATACTAAATACTTGATTTCTTACCTCTTTTTAATGGAAAAATCTTATTTTCCAAAATTTCCCGGGCATCTGTTCCTTTATCCATGAGGTCTAATTTTGTTAGAACACCTATTGTTCGTTCACCTGCGGGTTTAGTAATTAAATAACGACTACTTTTGACGAGTTGTTTCGACAATACAATAATATTTGTTCAAATAATTCAAATCTGGTGCAAAATATTTAATTTCAATTTTAATTATTCAAGTAAGTATTACTCATCTGTTCTTCCTATGCTATTTTAACATTTGAAATGTAACAGTTGTGTGGAATGGAAAAAAAAACCCTTAATAACTGTGTTTATAAATTACTGACGAAACTGCTGATAAAGAAGAGCCGTAACTCCTGCAACTCAAGACATTGCTAACTCAGTATCCTTACAGTTGGCCCGAGAAGTGGATCCTGAGGGTAACTACAAACAATAAACTAATCCAGTCTTAAAGATGTATTAGAGAATAAGGCAGTTTGGCTGACTGATAAATTCTTTTACCATATTCTGTATTTGAACAGCAATGTCTTTAGGCTGGTCACCAACAGGTACTTTGGTTAGTCCAGGAAGATCTACTACAGTCAAGTCTTGTAAAACTAAAGAACAAAGTTGTCGGAATATATAAATGTAGGTGTATATGTTTGAATGAACATACATATATATATAGAGAAATAAATTATATTTATCTCCACCTTCTTTACTAGTGCATTGGTAACAGAAGGACCTCTAGTGCTGTTTTCTTCCATTTTGTTTGCATGTATTCCCTTATGTGGTCAAACAGAAAGGAGAAAAATTCTTATTATCTGTTGGAGCTCTGGAGTGATTTCTGCGATACGTCGAGTGAATACTATCATATATTCGAAAGGCTTTCTGCATATATATATATATGTGTATGTTTGTGTTTTGTTTTCCTACTTCTTTATAGTTTAAGAGAACACACATACTGTATATACATATATATATATATAAAAAATTGGCCAAAAATATACAAGTAATTTTAGAAAACTTTACACTAAACAAAAGGAAACATGAACAATAATTTAATTTGTGAAAACACAAAAACACAACAAACAATTTGCCTGTTCAGGCTCGTGCACGAAGGGATTTGATGTTTTGGAAATATGCTTTTTAAAGTAATCTTTATCCTTTATAAAAAAAATCAACCACCACCTATGAAATGGTCGATAAAAACCATCATTTATAAGTGTGTCAGTAAACATGCAAGACTGAAGGTATTCTTAAATACAGACTAAAACTAACATTTATTATTAACAATTACTGGGTATTATAAAACGTTGGAAATAAATACATATTTGGTGTATTTGCTATTTCCAAATCAGCTGTGCGATATGCAGTAGACAGTGAAATTTCTTTCTTCATTACTTGAAAGTATTTTCGTTTCTCACTAACTTTGTCCTTGATTTGCTAAAATATCAACCATGAAACATTACCATATAGCTTTGAATATTGTTAAATAATTTAGTTTTATTTGATACAATATGGGTTAACAGAGTTTTACGTGTTGTTTCATTTCTTTCTTTCTTTTTTATTGCTGTTACCAACAGAATACTCTTACTGGATCAGAGTAGTATGGGCAGGTATTCAAAACCATGCACTGAATTGTTGCCTCAGGCGATAGGGGTGGGGCTAGACAATAACATCATAGTGCAGGAAGTGGCACAAGAGGGCGCGTTACTATAGAATGGAAGTAGGGTGATGTCAAAGGAGCGTGTTGCTAAGAGTCATAGTTCAACTAAGTAACACAAGAGGACACTGTTGCTAGAAGGAGGGGTGACATGATAAATCCACGAAGTTGCAACAGAGGACGTGTTGCAAGAACAGAGGATAGGGCGATGAGATCATTATTTATGATGAGCACAGAGATAATTCGCGTCAAACCACCAAAGGGTAATGTGCATGAACGGATATCAACGTGTCATCAACTATATAGGAACAATCAAGGTCTTAAAATTAATATTTTATCTAATTTGCATAACCTTCTTTGAACAAATTTTAGACCTGAAAATATTTTAATTTCTACCACAATTACAGTTTTGCTTTATAAGGAAAACTTAGATTAAATCTTCTATTTTCATTTCTAGTTGTTATCATTATTGTCAGTTTTATAGTTTTCACTTATGTATGTAATTACATTACAGAAGCAGCTGTTGTTACTACAGGCGGATAGTGTTACTATAATCCCATAGGACTACATACAGATTTCAACTTCTATCAACTTATGTTTATAGTTTTCATTTATATATTGAATTGTACTTCGTGTGTCTTACAAGGGTGGATAGTGTTTCTATAGACAGACAAGATAGATTAAATACTGTGATGTTCATCACTCTAGCGTTGGAACATTAAGTAACATAAATACCATAGTGGACGTTTTCAGTATAGTGATATACTTAGTTTTGTGATCTCATGACAAAAGGTTTGGTCTACAACAAAAGATATATCTATCCTTTTACACGAAGTCAGTTTATGAAGAGTGTTCACATAAGAAAAACATGTCAGACATTCCCCAACGTAATTAGATATATGTTGATCACATATCTCCAGTGATCATTGGTCAATAGAATACGGCCTATCTAAATCATGTTTATTATAGGTAAGTTAGTATTATTCCTGCTCTATATAACATAGTAATAGAGTTTTAGATTTTACATCTTAAACGTCAGTGAAATTGTCATGAGCTTTACGAAGAGTAATAAAGTTCATTGTAGTGACACTGGCTTTTCTATAATATTAGCAGTTGTTAATCTAACTGATTTTTACCAATAATTATTCTATGAACACCCCACGAATTCATTTCATGAATTATCTTAATTTTGATTCACTCAGAAAGGAATTTACCGACGTTTGACAACCTTGGATGCACTTTTCTGCCTCTTTGTTTGTCAAGCTTGATTTCGCAAAATTTATACATTTCAGTTAGATATGAAAGTTAAGGTTAAGGTATACTATGGGTTGGGGGTAATAGTACTTGCCCCATCATTTTGACGGGCTTTACAGTAGTAATGTACATAAAGTGAAGTTTTGAAAGATACAGAAATATAATTTCTGAATTGTAAAAATCTTTTGTCTGTCAGTTTTACAGAAACAAAATCATTACTTGTTTTAGCTTTAGGTGAACATTGCACTTAGTTTTACAGGAGGGTCAACTTTGTTAACACGCCCTCGGGGTGCGGTGAGTCAGAATAAAATAACCAATAGAGTTGAAAGAGATCTCACAACTTGTATGTATTATAATTACACTGGTTAGTAAGTATCTCTCAAATGTATAGCCGAAAATGTGGTAAGAATATTGCTTACATAGAGTGGCATTAAACCCTTTTTGACAATGAGAATTTATAAAGTTTTTAGCCTATATGCAAATACTTTCAGTCAGGAAGAAACAAGCTCTAGACAAAGATTTGTGAAAATATCTACAGAAGGGTAAGAATAGTAATGGCTAAGCACAACTATTTATGTAGATCCTTTAAGTCTAAACTTTAGCAAAACAAATAACCCTATAAAGCTAAACATGAAATTATTGTGTATTATTTAGAGATTTGAATGAGTGTTCTTTTCAGGGTGAATAGATGTTATACAATATATTAATTATAGAAATGAGTTGTAATAAGTATTTTATATATAAAACGTCAGGAAATGCAAAACGTATGTCACACAAATTAAATTAAAAATCGAAAACTATGATCAGTACATTAAAATGCATTAGTAACACTATGTGCCTATAGCAACACCATCCGCCTCCGTAAAATCCATGCAATACAATTAAATATATAAATCAAAACTATAAACTTCAGTTAAAACAAGTTGAAATTTGTATGCAGTCCAATGGGTCTATAGTACCATTACCCATAGTAACAACATCCACCTTTGTAAGATGTATGTAATGCAATTAAATATATAAGCAAAATCTATAAAGTTGACAATAATGATGAGAACTAGATGTAAAATAGCAGATTTAAAGTAATTTTTACTTACAAAATTGTAATTGTGATAGAGATAAAAACTTCTCAGAACTGATTCTTGTAAAAAGAATGTTATGCAAATTAGATAAAATATTCATTTTAAAACTTTGATTGTTAATATAAAGTTGATGACACATTAATATCAGGTGTTTCGCTCGCGAACTATCTGTGTTCTCATCATAGATGGCCTCCTCCTCCTCTACCAACTTGCTCTCTGGTGGTATTTTCGCGAAACTATGACTCTTAGCAACGTGCCCCTATCAAAATTTCGTCTAGTGTCACTTCTTGGAACTATGACACTATCGCCTCTGGTTCCATTTTGTGGATGTATATGCCCCCCCCCCTCCATCCTCTTAAGGCCTGAGGCGGCCAATCAGTGGTTTGCCTTGCAAATGCATCCCTAACTACTGATCAGTTACGATCTGAGTTGCAAAAAAAATCCCATATAATTCCTGAGCAGGGACAGTGGTGGTGCATTTTCAAGACTAAGAATAGCCACTGTTATTTAAAAAAGATATATTGGTTTTGAAAATACAGCTTGTGCTGTTCTACATACTAACGTTTTGACTTAATGAATATCCTTACCATTTGGTGAGTAGATACGCAATGTAATTGGTTTCGCAGAAACGTTTTTCGTTTTACCCGTTTCTCTGTCAGTTTCAACACTAATTTCTTGTCGAATTTCCTTGAAATCCTCGAAACTTTTGTTAGGCTGGTGGTTGAAAATAGCAGATTCTACCAAAAACAAGAAAAAAAGGTCTTCATTGATATTCTATTTTCCAGGTTTATTTCATTAAGATTAGTTTACACTTGAATTGAGAAGACTGAAATTATCTCTCAAGCAAAATTTAGTAACTTAAAAATAAGAAATAGTAGCAATAACACATTCCTATTAAACGTGAATTTATGAGCCATTCTAACGACAGGTAACGTTACTATTTTCAACATGACTAAAACGGTTATCTTTTTGAATTTTGTATACATCCTCACATATAATTTTAGGTTCGTTTCTAGAAAATCTCAGTAGTAAACAATTGCAACTAAGTGACAAAATAAAAATAAACGAGAAAAAAAATCTCTCTTCTGAAAATGAAAGATTATCTCTTGCACATGTTCCTGCTTGATATAATTCATTATTAACTTGAAATATCTTTCACAATATAAAAATAATTCTTCGTTTAGTAATTTCCTCTTATGTTCTAAATTTGGACATCGTGGGCAAAGGTTCGGGGCCTCCTTACCATCAACTAATAACTAGAGTGTATAACCTCCAACTAATATCTACAAGTGTATCATTATTAACTTATCTCAGTCTCGTAGAAGCTTATTAAAACTATAAAGCCCGCTGTGGCTTTGCTTTAAAAAACAAGTAAACCAGTGGAAACTATGCTAAATTGTAATGTTATGTCTATTTACTATTTAGTAGAGATATAGAAAATATTTGTATTTATTCCAACGGAATAGTTTCCATCTACAATGTACTGAAACCAAACTATATAAAAGAGAATACGTATTCCGAGTATCATGCAACTTTATGGAGCTACGTTGAAGTTGTCAATTATATACAACTCCTAAACAGGAAATGCCAACGTCCTTGATTTTTTATGAGGTTGTAACTACTACTGCTACAGTCTCGAGACTGACTCATCACTCTGACGCCTTCAGACTTTTTCACGAATTTCAAACTCCCTCTAAGAGCAAACTATGCATGCAATTTATTCTATCTAAATTTACGAAGTCTAATATTCGAGGCTACAAATGTTCACTTTCACACTTATTTGTTACACTTATCAATAAACGTAAGTATTGATATTTAGTAATATAAGATAAGTCTACGTATAATAAACTTTCACATCCAAATTAATAACAACTGAAACTTTTCATAGGTACAATAATACACAATCCTCGCTCGATATAAAATATTAAAACCAAGTTGAATATTTCAGTTAGAATAAACAGTGGTGCAATAATCACCTTGATTAGGATTGTAGAAAAGCTGGATCACCAGAGGTCGCCTAGTCACGACTCCAGTTCCACGTGGTAAGAATTCTCTGAGAAGTACATCAAACGTAAACAAACTCGACAATAAGGCTTGTTAAAATGTAATACATTTATCTTCCAATAAAATAGCTGTACATTTAATTCCTATTGCTATATTACACTCGCATGGACTTTACGTGTAAGATTTTATGTTTAAGTTTACGGGATTTCCATCACGTAACTCATTACATGGCATTGTTGGCAGGAATTGGATGCTTCTGCACATTTTTATTTATGTCAGGTATCGCAAAAGCTTAAACACGAATTACATAAAATGCAAACGTATTATGCCAATGAAAAATTCTTTTTACTTATAAGCTTTATTAATACATATAAAAGCACAGAATTTATCCTGAGTTCAGTATTTGCATGAAACATATCCTCGTGACTCAAACAATTGTCGAATACCTCTAAATAATAATAAAATCAACATTTTGTATTAAAAATAGCCAATTTATATGTATGAAAAGTTATATATCAAACTGCATTATATATTATATGGAGTGTGTAATTAAACATAAATATATTTAGATGAGTGAATCGTCGCACTACTTCAACTGTGCATGCTGTTTATGTATTTTTCTCTGCATATTTCTTTTCCCTTAAGGCAGAAATAATCATAAGACGAATTATTTTCAAACGTCAACATTTTGAAGAAAATCGTTTCTGTTTATCTATTTTTTCCATACTGGCTAAATCATTAACTACATATATTACGATGTTTTCTATGTACAGTTTTATTGCTCATAAGACTTTACTACTAGGTTTATTATATTTTCAACACTACATTTTTTATTTAATCTCTTGAGGTTTTTAAAGACAAAGAAGAGAAAATAATAATGTTTTAACCATACTATTGCCGACAACTTCGTTCAATCCAGACCTCATCAGGCCGACTGGAACACAACAAACACAATGGTGGTCGGAACACTATTTATATAGGCCATTGTTACAACAATTGTTAAAATATAAGCCTAATTCTAATACCTTATGACAATTTCCGATTAATTATAATCATTCTTTGCCAGGTTAGAAAAGGTGTCCACACTGTAACAGTAGTTTTATATTATATATATACTATCATGTATACTGAGGGATAAGCTCTTACGATGCATATACTATAATTATTTAACTACTGAAACATTGTTTAGGAAAAAAAAGATATTGACGAGGTTGAATTCTCGACCTTCCGCATACGAAGCTGTGCTGCGTCATATCAACCAAAACCCAAAGTTTTTTTTTCACATATAAGCATTATTCAGTGAAATACTATATATATATATATATATATAAAAGAAGGGTATATGTTTTAAATAGATAAATCCGATGAATAATGCTGTTGTTATATTATGTAGTTGGACATGAATGGAAAAAAAGCATACCTGATAAGCAGAATCTGGAGTTGTATTTAGATTTAAAGTAAATAGGTTTAAAAACATGGAATGACTATAAATGAAATGTATCTCTGTACACAACATCTTTTGCATAAACACCTTGTTTTTTTGGATAATCGCCATTTTTAACTAAGATCTTGAGGTCTTTTTCTTGATAAAGCGACGTCATAAAATTGTGAATTGTTAATATTATGGTATCAAGAAGTGTAAAAATCAACCATTATCGTTTGCTTTTATTATTATTTTTTTACCGTCCCGTAAAGTATTAACCAAGTTTCAGGTCCACAAACACCAATATCGGCAATGGTGTAATATTTTATGCCCCTAAATCGCACTTGTATATCATCTGTAATTATTTTCTTTCGCGCAATTTGTTAGCTGTAGAGCATAAAAGACGAATTAAGTTGTGGCATTGAGTGTTAAGACTAATTGGCATAGATTATATAATGGGTAAACTCTTACTTCGCGTACGAACTGTATTTTAAACTATAGGTCTAATTATCGAATTATAGGTGCCTGTTAGAATTTTTACTGAGTTTTAATGGTTTTGCGCTGTTTATAAGCCATAAAAAGGTAAAGAATTAACTTAATGTGTTTAATTCCTTCTCTCTTTTTTATGTTACTGAAATGATTGTCTTATCGATTGGGCAAAAGGGGCAGTTGCCCAGGGTACACTGCGCGTTGCGAGTATAATGAATTAATATACCAGTTTTTTAAATATATTTTTTTCTTTGTTCATTTACTTAATTTTTATCACTAACAAATTTAGTTTATGAAATGGTATGGTACTTCCTTAAAAGCAAGGGTAAGCGGGAGTGGGGGGGTAGAGGGGTATTAGTTTATACTTCGCGCCACCGGTGCTTTAATGCGGCAAGGAGTTTGTCACTCATAGAATAACGCACGCTAAGCGTCCCCCACTTTTGCACTCATATTAACAGAAAGGTACCACTGTACAATTAGTTAATAGAAATATTGTATTCTCATGTGAGCTATTACGCATAAACACACGGTCTGCCTGACACACATTGTTCTTTTAATTATATAGATCCTGTCATTGGTGTTTTCATGTCCATATTGTGTTACATTTTTACACCAACAATATGACATTCATATCTTTAATGAAAACTGTATTTTTGTTCAGTAATTATGGTATAACAAGTTATCTCTAAAACCCACTTTCCAATAAAGTTTTCCAGGACACTGCTCTTCCCAGCACTTTGCTCTCCGACGACAGCTATCTGAGGTAGGTCAACCGCAAGTTCAACTCCAGCTGTAGAAACAGCATCTTGCAGTTTGTTCATAGTGTAAATCAATTGTTGCATTCCCTCGTTCTCCATCTTGAAAACTCAGTCTTTAATCGAATCTGAAATTGAATTAGTTAAAACAAACTGATTATTACTTTGATACAATTACCAATACAAATTGTGATACAAAGTTAGGCTTATTAACAGGTTATTTGGAACCGCATACTTTAAATATTTGTAAGAACTATTGAGAAACTATTAACTGCATAAGCACATTTCTAATAAGCTTAGGAGACTGGTGAATAATTGTTCCGGAAATCAATTTCCTGTACATTTCTGTCTGCATGTAAATGTAAGATATGGTACTGTGTAGCACGTGACCGTTTAACATAACACATAACATAAATTACTATTTTTTTGTTATGAAAGTTAGGACGATTTAGGTCCTGTATCAACAAAAATCTAACATCATGAATATATTTTCTTTCTGAAATAACAATATTTCTGTATGATAGTTGTAACTTAATACATAAATAGTCTAAAATAGATAAGATACGAGAATACAAGATGCAACGGTAATTAAGGCACACTTCATCTGTAAGTTGATTTTCTAGCATTAACAACATTTGAACAAATAAACCTTGTAGTTCTTGAAACATATAATCTAACTAGAACGAAATTATTAAAATATGAGTAACTAAGAACCAGTGTTTGGTTTTCCTCCCTAAGCTAAAATAAGGTATTGTTAAACATTCAATAAAACTATAAGAAACATGCAAGAGTGTTATATATGTTAAACACAAAATTACACAATGGGCTATCTGTACTGTACCCAATACGGGTAGCGAAACCCGGTTTTTAGTGTTACAAGCCTAATTATTTACCGTTGAGCCCTTGAGGGATATTATATATGCATATGTACACACACACACACACACACACACACATGAATATATAAGTGTAACATTCTTGAGTGTTTTTCCAACTTTGTTAAGTTATTTTATTATATATATAGAGAGAGAAAACATTGGTTCTTAGTTACTCACCTTTATAGATTTTCATTTTAGATATACACGCAAATGTATTTACTCTTGTATTTTCATAAAGCTATTACTTCATGTTCATAGTTTTCTACTTCAGTTTGTTTGTCTTTGGCATAAATTCCCTTTCTTCCATAGTTTAATTAAAGTCTGTACAATAAATTTTCAAGATTCTAAGAGACTATACACAGAAAAATCGTAACTTACGTACATTTAATGTTTTTTTGTTCTTTTATAGGCAAGTGCGTTATTTCCACAAGCTATCTT